TGTGTGTGCGCGCGTGTAAATGTAAATTCATATACCTCATCTATGCATTTGTCTACCGGATGCATTTTCATGTTGCACATATGTTGTTGTTATGTTGTTTGGCGTATCTATTTGCTAGTAAGCAATTCTGCAGTAATATAGTTGGAAATATTCAATGAAATTCTGCCACGTTTCGTTATTAATAGAGGAAATCACTTGGCGTTTATGTGTGTGCCGTTAAGTGCGAGTTTGCATACATGAATATATAAGTTAACTGTTATAATTTGTACTGTCACTTTATTAAAGCACTGAAGAGACCAAGGATATGAAGATGGATCAGCGATTACTGTTTAATAATTTATTTATTCCTCTCAATTAACATTTCTGACTGTTGTTACTTCAATAAATTTGATGATGTTTTCCCGAAGACGTCATTTATGTCCTTTGGTAACAGCATCATTTGCCGTAGCCTTACGTGGCTTAGTGTTTATGTAGTTTACCTAACAGTATATTATCGCTATTGGCTACTGGCTTGCTATCTTATATGAGAAGAAGGCAAGGGTAAACAATGCAGACAGACCTTGTCCTCATCCAATGAGTTGTGCAGATTACACGTTCTTCATCGCAACCTAAGGCCTTTTTCAACATTTCAAGTCATGTTGAATTCACTACCTGGGCTGCAGGCCTTCGTGAGAAATGGTTCTCCAAGGAGAACTGTTCCGCTCTTCTCTTCAATGTTGCTGCCTGCTGCACGCCTGACTACTGGGAGTGGTTGCGTGAATTCCGTCGCGGCAATAAGTAGCAGTGTCTTGTATTAAGCTGCAGATGGCTCACAAGTCCTGAACGCAGTAAGACCGGCATTCGCATTGCTTAAGCTAACTCTTCATGCTAATTGGTGATAAGCAGATGTCGTCGTTAGCTTGTTTATCATCACTTTAAAATTAGTCAGTGCTTCCAAGAGCACACTTCTTACTCTTTTTGTTTTATAACACTAAGAATATAGGACTACTATAAACGTCATGTGCCTATAGACGAAAGAAAGAACCTCCACCTTTCTATACGTATGATCCTATCCTAATCTCCATTCGTGGAACATGCGCAAATATATGAAAAAGAGGTGTTTGTGCGTATAAGAAGCTTAGCTTGACTGAGAAGAGAAGATAAATTCAATTGAAGAGACTGATGCATTAATTGTTCTCGAAAGTGAAAGAATGTAGCGACCACTAGAACTCACTCTATTTAATATCCTCAGTATTGAACAAAAAATATTTCCTTTTTGATATTAAAAATGCATACAGCATAGTCCGCGCATTTCGATCAACCAGCCTTGTCATTGTTCGACCTCCATTTAGATTCATTTCAGCCAGACATAATAACACGGCTTTGATTGATGACAATAATCGTTGACAATGAATCGCAATAGTTATCCAAAAAAGTCGTAACATTTTTTTATGTTTGTTGGCTGGCTATACGAGTATTTCATTGCAAAGTAGACTTCATTTATATTTTTTTTTTTCTTCGATGTTATTTTTCTCTTTTACAGTTATGTTAAATTTAAATCCAAGATTTGTTTCAATTTTAGCACTTGACATATATTTTTTCGTCATGACGTTTTAACCTATTTTTTTTTTTAATTTTTTTTATTTTTTTATTTTCACTTTACAAAATTGGTAGATATTCGTTAACTTGGCCAAGCAGTGCCATTTAATGCCATCCTGGCTACTTGATATTATGTATTTATGTCTAATGTTTTTATTGTAAAATAAACAAAAAACGAAAATAAGAAAAAAAAAAAAAAAAAACGGAAACATTGCCCGAGAAATTATGTTGCAAGAAATACCAAAGAAGAAAAATCATTGACATGTAGCCTAAAGGCATCTCTGCAGTAATATAAATGTAAGTATATGAACAAGAAAATACGGTAGAAATGCAATAAACCTGAAAAATCAACATGTAAAGCACACTCATTCTGTGCCCGTTGTCGATGTTATATATCAGCATGTGTAAGTGTGCAACACGAAAGTGTCTAAAGATGCTAAACAAGATATATATATATATATATATATACATATATATATATATATATATGTATATTCACAGAGTGAAGCACTGAAACACTATGTTCAGTCCTGGAGCGTAATGTTGAACCCGTAATAAAACAACATTGAAAACAAAATTGATAAGAAATTACCAACAGCCAGCACATCTTAATAAATATTTTAGTACATTTTAATATGGCATTTCGTACGCACACACACACACACACACACACACACACACATTACTCGCATACTCGCATAGCAAAAATAATAAAGCCAAAGGCTTAGTTTATCTTTATCGATATTGTATCTTTTCGGGGTGTGTTGACTATTAACTGACAAGAATAACAAAGATGTGCAGCAACAGAATTGATAAGCGTGGTGTGTAAATGATGCTCATAAAAATTGTGTCATTTTTCTCCGCTGTACACGTACTAGTCATAAACTTTGAACATCCATTTTCCCTTCTACACGGCTCTGCTTTGAATTTCAATAAACATTAAAAAGCAGAGAGCATTTTTACATCAGATAAGTAAACATTCCTTTGCAAAGATAAAATTTTTAAAGCAAAGCATACGACAAATTATTAAGGTTTTGCCTCTTTTTCCTTTTTTTTTTTTTTTTTAATGTATGTTAATGCTTAAAAAGGGCTTGTTGTTAAGTGTTACAAAATGCTTAAGGTTTGCAGTTGTTTACTCGCCTGGGATGTACACAGCTTAGAAAGAAGAGAAAAACAGGAAGAATTTTATGAATAACTTGGCAATCTCTCTAGAGCTCCTATAGATTTGATATACGTAACAAGTATTTGCATTTGGTTCTTTTTGCAGCCAACTTGGCGGATTTTAATGCGCCCAACACCGTTCACCTTACATTCACACCCTTAACTGTTGATATCCTCTGAAAAGTTGACATTATTACGAGAAGGGTATTCAATACGATGTACTTATTGCAAAGTTGCCCCGAATTCTGGCAGCCTTTGAGTTGGCAACAAAACCCTCAAAATTCTCAATTGCAAGAGGTTTATCTGTATGTCACGAAAGTTTTGGATAGATGTGAACCTTAATGCAACAACTATATGCATCTGGAAGAATTATAGCGTTAAGTATTAGATAACAATGTCTTGTACCCACTCTTCGGTGACGACTAAAGATTGAAAAATAATTGACTGTCTTCGCAAAAGGTAAATGGTGAGCTTCAATGCCTTTTTATTGCGGCTTGATGATAGAAGCATTCTAATTTTAAGCACGAAACTATACTATGCAATATCTTGGAATGCTTTTGTTAACTTCTAGCAGAATCGCCGTAATGAATCTCTTTATGCAGTCGCAGTCGTATGTAAAAATCGGCGGACTGTAGGAGGCGGTAGTGCGCCGTCTGTTGAGTCCATATTTTCTGTCATTATCATTGAGACATTTAAGCCAGAAAATGAATCTCATCATAGTCAGCACTCTGGTGTAAAACATAAGTTTCTTGTGTTGTGTTGTCTTTGGCATTGACTGTTCAAAGAGTTCCATGATGATTGTGACTGCAATCAGAAGTGATGCAATTTGTACCCTGTATGCCATTAGGTACCGTAACAGGCATCGACGTAAAGTCTTTGTCGCGCCGAAATAAGATATTTCTGAAGATCTGTTTACAGTTCGGACATTGGAGAAGTCTTTCATAAGCTTTTCCAAAGCAGTTTATCATTAGGTGGACTTTACACACACTTGCACTGGCGACAATTCATTGTTGAGTTAATCATCCAAACAAATCGCTGTTTTGCTTCCTTCGTTGAAAGACGACCACAAACACGTAAACACTATTGTTTCGATGACCGCTTAAGGTCTGATTAAAAACATCGTTTGATCTCCTGTTTATGAACATTCTCTCTGAGGATTACTACGTATTATCCTAAAAGCATGTATATAGAATAAATCTCGTTGCAGTGTTTCTTATAGTGTTTATTGCTTTCATCTTGATGTTTGATGCACGATATTTTCTAAAAACTTTAATCTTCTTGACCAAGATGGGAAGTTGAATTGCTCGTTTAAACTCTAGCGAGCAGGATTTCCGAGGAAGCACTCAGACTATCTTCAATGATTTCCTTGATACTCTTCTTTCGGTTTTCTTTAACATTCTTTCCACTTTCTTTAACGCTTTCATCAATATTCCGATCAATTTTCTTCACATTTTGGTCGATGCCTACCACATAATCCTCTTTTCAGTCTTCATGCTTAAGTGTAGTCTTTGTTTTACAAAAGTACGTTCCCTAATAATAAGTTGTTGAGGAACTTTAGGAGGATTGCTTATCCTGGCATCGGCTACTAGATGAGGTTCGATATTTTTTACAATATTGCATTCGGGGAAAGTAAACCCCAATGCACCATTGTTTCCATTGCTCCAACAATGCTCAGACCCCTCAAAATCGTTGTCTTAGGAAATGATATCAATTTTGAAAGTAAAAGTCGATCGATGTAACGTAATGTGATTGGCAAAGTTTCAATGAACACAAGATGTCCCTGCTATATACAATGTATATAGAGTAGCATATAGTGTTTATGTCATTTGTCAAACTGGCCGGTTGTGCAAGTAAGTGCAATCGAGTGATGACAATGTCATCTTTCCGTGTTTAGTTCACTTCTCATCTTAACCTCTAATATGCAATATTTTTTTCAATACTGTATTATTGCTGCTTTCGGTTTATTTACTTTCTATGTATTTTATGTGAATGGTAGAAGCTTTCTACGGCACTTTAAAAAAGTTATCATTATTCCTAGCATTTACAACTGTCAGCAAAAGTGTTGTACACTCCGTTAGTGCGCAGTTTGTATATAAATTTCTTTTTAATGTCAAGATGCATTAAAAAATAAGAAAAAAAAAAAAGAAGGAATAACAAGAACAACAAGAAAAGACATTAAATTCTCTTATGTACTATGTATTTTGATAAACTCTTCGATAAAATTTTATATTCATTTTCAACTTTTCTAATTTTATTTATAGAGAATTTCGTTTGATTTTGCGACAAGATCCCTTATCAGTGTTCGCCAATGATGTTCGCATAGAAACTACAGAAGGTCCTATGGATTACGATATATCTCGTGTTTATACCGGATCATTAGAAGGTAAATTCGATCACATGCAAAATGTATTAATTAGTTGAAGGAAATGGTTTTGATCATTTTTCTTTTGGGATCATAGTAAAGATTACAGAGTAATAATATTAAATAATAATGTTTTCATAACGAATCATACCACGGTGTGTAGCCAAGGCACTTCTCGAATATATGGGAATAATTATGGCTTGAATTCCTTTATTGATCAAAACAAATTACGTATACGCCGCAAAATATCGTACACAGGCCATAGATATACAAAAGATGAGAGAAACTTTATTTATTAATGCAAGTTCTGCCTAAACTTTGGTTCAGGTCATAGCTCGTAGACAAATTATCGAATATGGTACTGCGGTTATTGTTCCAAGCTCCTTAAGCGGCTGAGTTCTGTGCTGATTGCGAGACTGTGCGGCAAACCGGATTGTAATGGTAAACAATTTTGTAAGCATCATGAAGAACTAATCTCTAACTTGCCGAAAATCCCTTAAGTATTCAACCATAAATCATTATCCTGACCATATTACTAAAAGTTCGGACAAAGCTCGACAGAAATGAAATCTCTGGGGAATTTGCTGCGCTCTCTTTTGGAGTGACATTACAAGCCTTCTTCCTCAAACCTTTATCTTTGAAAATTTTATGCAAGAGCCTGCCGCCTTTCCAGCATCTGCCCAAACCATATGCATTTCATGCTTTGCACTTTACGTCTCGCTAAATAAAAGAGCAAATGGAAGAGAAAATTTACAATTGAATAGCTGTACATAAAATCCTAATTAATATCAAAGCTTTGATCATGAACTTTCAATTGCTTCGCAAAAGCACTAACTTCTTTCGAATAAGCCTCGTATTTATTCAACGTTCGTCTCGATAAACGTATTTCAACGTATATTTGTCTAGAAATGCGGGTTAACTGAAAGAAGATTGAAAGTATCTACTGACTTTTTTAAAAATTTACATTCTATTCTTAAGTATTTGTTGGTAAAACTTTGCAATAAAATAAAAACATAACAAACAGGAAATAAGTTTATATGCATACATGCATAATAAAAAAAGAAAAGCATTTTTGTACTAAGATATATTGCACCACAGTATAGTGTATTTTGTACTAAAATATATTGTACTACAGTATAGTGTATTTTGTACTAGAATTCATTGTACTACTGTATAAAATATTTTGTACTGCAGTATAGTGTATTTTGTACTAGAATTTACTATACTGCAGTATAGTGTATTTTGTACTGAATTTTGCTATTTAGTAGCTGGGCGAACAAATTCAGTTTACATTGCTTTCAGTTATCATTATATAGCTAAACTCAAAATTCATTGGAAGTTAAAGGTTGGATCTCTAAAGCTATTTCGTTTTATGGGAAACTTTGATTTCTTATATACTTTTTTTAAAATCCTATTCTTGAATGCATTTTAAGAAATTTTGCTGTACTCTTGTTTATGGTTATTATTCTCGCAGTTGAGATGAATTATTTGCGATTTATCACCTCATGTCAAAATTTAATCACTTGTATAGTGAAAGCACTTAATAAAGATTAACCAAAACAAACATTTAATTTTTTTAATTTATCATTTCTCTCATTTCCTTCACCTTGAAACTCTTCCGCCCTCTTGCAATTCGTTGTTGTTAAAAAGACTCACTTCCGTGATGAATCAAAGATTCCATTATAAGTTTTCATTTCATGCAAACCTTTGTTTACAAAGCTTTCAATCATTGTATGACTTTTCAATATTTTTCACAATAAAAATTAATATTGAAGTGTTTGCTTCAAGTTGCTTCTCCTTTAGTTGCATAAATTGGAAAATGGTCTTGAAAAAGTTACCGTGAAATATGAAGGACAAAACTTCAGTCATTTGTGTCGGATCACTTCCTTGTGAACAATTTTGTTTCTAAATTGTAGGTTCACATCTGCTAGGGACCATAGCCGGTTAAAATAGCTTTGAGTGAAGTTAACCATTTGAATATGATGAGTATATTTTTATTTTAGAAACGTAGCGGATTATATTGATCTTATCTAAGTAGTCATAGGCAAGCCAAGTATATGTGCATTGGTCTTGCAGGATCTAAAATGCGTGTTTTCGTGATTACAATTGTATTCGCATAGTTGGCAAACAAGCAAAGCGGAGCAGAAAAATTTGATACAAAACATCAGATCGGCCTCAGATGTGTTTTTATGTTGTATGGTGTCTTTTCAGCATCCTCTCTGGGCATAG